AACGCCGGCGCGCAGCCCTCGTCCCTCCCCGCGCCCGAGGCCCGCCGGCGCGCGACAGCAAACAGAACACAGATCACTTACAACGGCATCGTCTCCTGCGCGGCACCGCCCAGTCACTGCCCCCCCGCAACCGCCGCCGCTGCCGCCCTGGGCATGATCCACTGAGGCGGGAGGGAGGGGGCTACCTCAGGCTGGGTCCAACCCCACTCCCGCACCCGCTCCCGCCGCTTTAAGCACTTCTCCTCCTTTCCCTTCGTCCTAACATGGCGCCCGAGCGCTACCACAGCAACGTTCTAGAACCCCTGACGCCGACACGCACGCCGCGCGCCTGCGCATCCGCCGCCTGACGCCGCGAGGCCTCACGGGAAGCGTAGTCCGGCCGCAGGCACGACGCTCTCCCTGTCGTCTCCCGCCGCCGCCGCGGTGGCTGTCGGGTGCGGGTGGGAGGGGGCGGGCGGCGGGGCGGAGCGAGGAGGGCCCAGAGCAGGCTGCTTCCGGTGCCTTTTGGGGGCGCGAAGGCCGATCTTCTGGAACGGCGTTTGTGGAGGCTCTTTGAGGGCACCGAGTGTCCCACGCGTGCCCTTGTACCAGTCCTGGACGCAGGCCTCAGAACGGGGACATGGGGCTTGAGGCCCGCCGCCTTCCTCCCTACTTCCCTGGACTCTGGTGACGGGTTCATGAGAAGTGCTTTTCTCAGCGAGAGAAAGGCCTGGTACTTGGGAGCCAAATGTCATTAGGAGCCCCCCACCCCACTAGACTGAGCTCCGCAAGGCGCAGCTTTTCGTCTGTTTTGCCCACTCATCTACTCCTCGTGTCTATCTATACGCAGGAGCTCAAGAAACGTTTGTTGCGTAAATATGTTTGCAGGATGAGACTGGTGACAGCGAGTCCTGGAACACGACCCAGATTTTTTTTCTTCTAATGGTTTATTTGCTGTTGTTGAGAATGTACACAGCGGAACTTACGACCCTCTCCACAGTTTCTACACGTACGACTCAGTGACATTGATTACATTCAAGTTGGGCAACCGTTCCCACCCTCCTACACGGAATCGTTCCTCCCTCGTTAACATAATGTCCCATAAGGTTCCTATCAAATCTTTCCCGTTGCTGTTGTCAGTTTGATCCCATGGAGTTAGTTCTCGAAAGAGCATGATGCTCAAGGCAGACATTCTTTAATTGTTAAGCCAAACTATTGTTTGGTTTTAAGACAGTTTTACTTTTTTAACAAATAGTGCACTGATAAAGCTGTCCTTTATAGAAACATGGAGATTTTAGCAAAGGCTGTTTGCTCCACGGTTTCCCCGAGGCATTGGTTTCCAGCCCTCATCTGTCCTGAGGTGGGACCTGGGAATGTATATATTTAAAGCAAACTTCTCCCCTCCAGCCAAAGTTTGAGAAACTAAGCCTGAGGCAGACATGACTCCTGGGCATTCCTTCCCTCTTCCAGTTAGAAGGGTTGAAAAGCGTGTCACACAGAAAGCTAATGGGGGGAGAAGGAGCCAAAACAGGGCAAAGCTACTTTAACAAAACAAAGTTCATATCGCTTTAAATACATTAATATGCCTTGTAAGTCCTCAAGAAATTTGACCAGGGATTTCCCTTTTTTCACAAACCACCTCTTAGGGCTAACATTATAGGAGTCAGGGTCAGGAGCAGTAAACGCACAGTATCTAAACCTTCACTGTCCAATATGGTAGTCATTTGCCATATGTGGCTATTGAGCATTTGAAATGGGGCGTCCAATTAAGATGTGCTGTAAGCGCAATATACACAAGGATTTCAAACATCTCAGCACAAAATAAAAAGAATGTGAAATACCTCATTAATAACTTTTATATTGAATACATGTTGAGATAATATTTTGGATATATTGGGTTAAAGAAATTATTAAAATTAATTTCACCTGTTCCTTTTTCCTTTTTTGAGTGTGGGAAGTGAAATTTTCAATTACTTATGTGGCTCTCATTTCTATTGAACAGCATTGATTGAGAGACAGACTTGGATTTAATTCTCAATTCTTCCTTTCTTACCCTCTTGTCATCAAGGAGGCTTTGGTTCTGGGCCTAGTAGCCGATCTGTCCTTAAAAGTTTGAAAATCTGAAACCCAGAGAAATCAGTAAAATAAAGAACACAGTCTTAAAAACTGCTCATAAAGATAGGAACCAATAATGTACTTTAGGACTTAGAGAATGGGAACTTCTTGAACTTATGGCCATCCTCTGACTAGCATCTCAGAAGGCTGCAAAGAAGTGGACATTAAACCTCACGTCTTCAGTCTATAGTTTCTCTGCACCATTTTGTTTTCAGCCTTCCATTGGATTAGGTAGACAAATAGCACAACTGTTGTTGCTGTTGTTAGGTGCCTTTGAGCTGGTTCCAACTCATAGTGACCCTATGTACAGCAGAACTAAACGCTGCCTGGTCCTGCACCATCCTCACAATCCTTGCTATGATTCAGTACATTGTCGCGGCCACTGTGTCAGTCTATCTCGTTGAGGGTCTTCCTCTTTTTCACTGACCCTCTACCTTACTAAGCATGATGTTCCTCTCCAAGGACTGGTCCCTCCCTATAACCTGTCCAAACTGCATTAGACAAAGTCTTACCATCCTCCCTTCCAAGGAGCACTCTGGTGGTACTTCTTCCAAGACAGATTTGTTTGTTCTTTTGTCAGTCCACGGGATATTCAATATTCTTCGCAAACACCTAATTCAAAGGCATCGATTCTTTTTCCTTCTTCCTTATTCATTGTCCAGCTTTCACATGCATATGAGGAGATTGAAAGTACCATGACTTGGGTCAGGCACACCTTAGTACGCAAAGTGACATCTTTGCTTTTCAACACTTTAAAAAGGTCTTTTGCCCAATGCAATGTGTTGTTTGATTTTTTGACTGCTGCTTCCATGGGCGTTAATTGTGGACCCAAGTAAAATGAAATCCTTGATAACTTCAATCTTTTTCTCCCGTTATCATGATGTTTCTTATTGGTCCAGTTGTGAGGATTTTTGTTTTCTTTATGTTGAGGTGTCATCCATACAGAAGGCTGTGGTCTTTGATCTTCATCAGTAAGCGCTTCAAGTCCTCTTCCCGTTCAGCAGGAAAAGTTGGGTCATCTGCATATTGCAGGTTGTTAATGAGTTGTCCACCAATCCTGATACCCCATTCTTCTTCATATAGTCCAGCTTCTTAGATTATTTGCTCAGCATGCAGATTGAATAAATATGGTAAAAGGGTACAGCCCTGACATACACCTTTCCTGATTTTAAACGACGCAGTATTCCCTTTCTCTGTTGGAATGACTGCCTCTTGGTCTATGTACAGGTTCCTCATGAGCACAATTAAGTGTTCTGGAATTCCCATTTTTTGCAATGTTATCCACAATTTGTTATGATCCACACAGTCAAATACCTTTACATAGTCAATAAAACATAGGTAAACATCTTTCTGGTATTCTCTGCTTTCAGCCAAGATCCATCTGACATCAGCAATAATATCTCTCATTCCATGTCCTCTTCTGAATCTGGCTTGAATTTCTGGCAGTTCCCTGTCAATATACTGCTGCAACCATTTTTGAATTATCTTCAGCAAAATTTTACTTGCATTGCCATGACTACCTTGCAATAAACTAAGCAAGTATATGCATGATAAACCTGAGTATCTCTCTATTAATTTCCTAAGATTAAATCCTGTACAACAAGCCTTCATTCAACAAATGGTACATTCCCGTGCTAAGCCCAGGGGTTATTTTCCACTACTTAAAAAAACAAAAAACAGTCCCATCCTGGCTGGAGCAAAGGAGAATGAAGAAAACCAAAGACACAAGGGAAAGATTACTCCAAAGGATTAATGGACCATTACTACCACAACCTCCACCAGACTCAGTCCAGCACAACTAGATGGTGCCCGGCTGCCACCACCCACTACTCTGGCAGGGATCACAATAGAGGGTGCTGGACCGGGTAGGAGGAAAACGTAGAACAAAATTCAAATTTAAAAAAAAAAAAAAAAAAGACCAGGCTTGCAGGTCTGACGGAGACTGGAGAAATCCCAAGAGTATGGCCCCCAGACACCCTTTCAACTCAGTACTGAACTCAGTCCTGAGGTTCATGCTTCAGTGAAAGGTTAGAAAGGTCTACATCAGCCACCCCTTGGAAACCCTGTGGGACTGTTCTACTCTGCCCTGTAGGGTCACTATTTGTCAGAATTGACTTGACGGCAATGGATTTATAGGGCTGACAGTAATACACCCGAGGAACATGGTTTGTAGTTCGATCATGTGTATGAGACTCATGGGCACACCAGCCCAAAAGCAAAGATGAGAAGGCAGGAAGGGACTGGAAAACTGGACGAATGGCAACAGGGAATCCAGGGTGGAGAAGGGGAGAGTGTTGGCACATCGAGGGGTAGGCAACCAATGTCACTAAACAATTAGTGTATTAACTGTTTAACGAGAAACTAATTTACTCTGTAAACTCTCACTTGAAGCACGCACACACACACAAAGATTCTTGGCAGAAGGTAATGCTGCCACTTTGAAAAAATAAATAAATAAGTAATAGTCATAACCCTGACCCTCATGGAACTTCCATTCAGAGGGCAGGAGGGCAGCTAATAAACCCATAAACGAATAAACGCTCAAGGGAATTACAGATTGTGACAAGAGGCATGAATAAAATAAGCCTGGTCATAGAACTGTGGGGGAAGTCAGCTTCAGATAGGGTGGTCAGACAAGAGCCCCATGGTGGAGGAGTTGACCTTTGAACCCAGACCTGAAGTCATCCTGAGATTTGGATGTTTTCTTTTTGCCACTGGGGAGCCATTGAAGTTTTAAAACAGAAGTGAGCTTGAATTTATATTTTGAGAAGATCACTGTGATAGGGTAGGGTGTGAATTTGAGCTGGGTGAGATTTTGAACATGGAGGATGGTGACGAGGTTAGAGATGATGAAGCCTGACATAAGCAAGGAGAGAAGGGATCAATTTGAGAGGGACTTAGGAGGTGCAGTTAACCCTGGATGTGAGAGATGAGGGACAGGAAGGAGACAGGATGACTTCAAAGGTCCCATGGAGGTGGAGTCGTCCCTGGAAGGTGCGAACAGTTAACCTGAACGTGTTAATCGTTTGCACCACCCAGGAACTCCATAGATAAAAGCTAAACCCATTGCTGTCAAGTAGATTTCAACTCATAGCAACCCTACAAGACAGAGTAGAAGTGCCCCATTGGGTTTCCAAGGCTGTAATCTTTACAGAGGAAGCTCTGGTGGCACAGTGCTTAAGAGCTATGGCAGCT